TTAATTGCAAAGTTTTTGATAAAAAGCATTTACTACTTTAGATTAGTTTTACAATTTTTTCAATTACTAAATTATTTAGTCAAACTTCACTTCCAGGTGTAAAATAGCATGCGCTTTTGAGAAGGAAATTAACATGCTATCCGAGACATACAATACCTTTTCTAATGCATATGTAATCAACGATGTGGCCTACCCTTTGATTCCGTAAAAAGAAAAACATCTACATATAATTCTTGCCTTGAATACTGTTTAGCGCATCTATTTTCCAAATGGTAATTACTACTACATAAAAAACATTTAACACTAAATAATTACTTTTTAAGGACCTACAAAAAGATTCTAGTTGTTGCGAGTTCACATTTCCAACAATTATGCATAACAGTACTTTTCGAAATCTAAATACGCATTAAAGAGATTCCGATATTGACTCTTTTAATTTACACCGTTTTAATCTACTGTTCCTTTTTTTCTTTTCGATAATAACACAGTTAATTAGCAACACGACATGCTATTATTATTAGTAATTAAAGACGTCCCTGAGAACTTGACTTGAAGTAAGACATGCTTCTTTACATACCAGTAATGAAGTTGTTTATTCTACTATCCTTATCCCATTTACAAAACTAAACAATATTTAAAAAAGCACTACTTATTAGAAAACTAGAGCAATAACCTACATCTCTAGCAGTAATGTAAAATAAATCTAATTGTAAGTCTATTTCTACCCCTCTTAACTTCTGTTTGAGAACATGCCCGACCCAGCCACCTAGTCTCTTTTTTATTTTCATATCGCCTTCTGCTCTCCTACTCCCTCTAATATCTCCTCATTTATAACCTTTTTTAAATTTCCAAATTAGCCTATCTCTAGCACAAAGAAAACAAGAAGGTTAAGTCAGTTCCGGATTTCAAACGAATTATTATGCACGTACTTAGGGATGTTAGGGAAGTACAATCGGAGACAAGAGTACATAAAGTTAGAAATTCATGATTAATTAGGTTTTGCAGCATATCATAAGGTAAATAAATACTATCTACACTAAAAAAAAGTATACGGTTTGAGAGAAAATTTGAAATTTGACCAAAAACTTTGAATAAAATAAGAAATAACGAATAATATGGAAAATTTTTAACTGACTTTTGACAGTGAATATGCCTTGATTTCAACTTCGAAACAAAAAAATATTTAGTTTCAATCTCTATTAATAATGAGCGTAAAACTTTTTAATATGTTTAAATAATAATTAAAA